CTTCCGCTGGGACGTGGCCCTCCCACGGGCCGCCCTTCCAAGGAGTGGGAGCCTGGCCGGTAAGGCACGAAGTACTTGGCGCTGAGGAGGAGTAAAATCTCTTTCCCACCTACTCAGCTCCCAAACACCACACCTCCTACAACCATCCCCTTGGGCACTGAGGTTTCAGCATATGAAACATACTGGGGGCACACCAACAGACCAAAGCCGACACGACCCTCCCTACTGCCTATCTAGCTCTTACATACAGCTGCACGTCCGCCTTTGGAATCCTTCTGGGTTTTATTATTCCCTGTGAAAGAGATGTCAGGTTCATGCATGTTAATGTTTCCTTCTGATTAATCAGTCTATTTACTTTACAGTAATGTACTGCCAAAAAGACAAATGTAACTATACTGAAAATAATGTTTTCCAATTTTCTAGTACTGATTATGGTTCCTGTCTTACCAAAGTGAAGTAGAAGTTTGGGTAATGTCTTCAACGTGGTTATTGATCTGGACTTTTATGCAAAACAAACAAACAAACAAACAAAACAGGCTCTTCTCAGACAATGCAGAGGAGAGGGAGCCACAGGCCCACCCACACAAGCCTCAGAGCACCTGAAATTAGGAGGGTATGCTGGTCCTGTAGAGTTTTGTCGGGGTGGGCCAGCCCAGGAAAGTGCTTGAACGCCACATCATTAGAAAATCAGACGCCATCCTTGGGTTGTGTCACCAACTGATAGGATTTCCTTATTTCTATTTCAGAATGTGACAAAACACTTTAAAGGAAGTCCTTCTCTTTAAATCAGCCAAGCTCTAGTCAAGATTGGACGGCAGAGGAGGCACCTCCTCACCTGGCCCAGGGTTCAGGGGTGGGGAGAGAAGGTGGTTGTGAAAGGGGCCCTAGAGCCATCCCAGCTCCACCTGGAGAACGAGGGGCTTACACACCTGTGCTCAGATGCCCCCGTTTAATGGGGTAGCAGGATAGACATCGGGGTGAGCGGCGGTCATGAGGCCTCAGGCCCCTGTGGCAGTGAGCTGGGCTCTATGATGCGTGGCTGGGCAAAATTCTATGAGTGATCCCCCTCTTTGGCATCCTCAGCAGCCCTGCCAGGTTCACACAGGGGCTCTGAGCTAGGGATTCGAACAAGCTCTAACAAGTTGAAGGAGCAACTTGGCAACCCAAGAGGCAGCAGAGAAGGGGCTGGGGTTGAGGGGATGGCCGGCATCCCCAGCTTGGCCTTCCGGGGCCACGTGTGCATGAGCTCCCACTATTGGCCAAGGCTGCTTACCAGTGGGGCTGATTTTGAACCTGTTTCTCTTTCATTTTTCTACTCTCTTACATACATGTGTCCACATGTCGTTACCTACTGTCTGTCTTGTTTGCAGATGGAAATGTGATTTTAAAATAAATAGAAGTATTATGACTTTTAAATTCTCATATGCAAATATACGCTTGAATCAAAGGAAGGCTTCGACATCTATGGGTAAAATGCCACGTGGGGCATCGTAAGGATGTGGCATGTGGCCTGGGGGCTTGTGTTTCAGAGCCGTCCCCTATTTACCTGCTCCATGACGTTATGCCCAAGGGCATTCAGCTTTTTCTTTTGAGATGTTGATATTAATATTAATCTTTATAGTTTTCATGTATGATGAAACAATATGGTGAGCACTTCATAGGTTAAATTCTATAAGACTGGGGTACAGAATCAAAAATTCCAAGAGGAATCTTTTCATAACAATACATACTTACAAATAAATAAATTTCATAGAAAGATCCATTTCACACCCATAAGTACATTTCTTATTCATGATAATAAACACTGCACATTATGTGTGTGTAGAGCTGGGAGCTGGCGGTAATATAAAGTAGGGTAGGATGAGTTGCCAGAGACTTACAAGGTGCAAAAGTGAAAAGATATATATCCAATAGGTTCCGTTTCTCTAGAGAACCTAATACAGGCAGACCTACTGAGAAAGTCCCAGTCCCCAGGTTCAGGTGCACAAGCCACGCCTAGGCCCGAAGCCGGACCAGGACAAGAGATGCCACCGCCCAGCCACCACCACGCCCATGCCAGCACCTGCCACGTGAGCACTGAGTAATAAGCACTAGCCGTCCACGACGGGCCTGGAGGAACACTGGGAGGCACAGTTGTGTAGATGTGACTAGAAGCTGAAGGTGGACAGGATGAGAACACTCAGTAAAACCATGTGGCATTTGAGTGCCCACCCTAAGCTCAAGGCAACTCCAGAGAAACACAGGGCCTAAGCTGCTCCCACGGTAATTACAGCAACATCCCAACCCAGTCCAACTCCTGGGCGGCTGACTCAAACCCCACACTAACAGCCTGGCAGAAGAAAAAGGGGGTCAGTATCCAGGCATAAGTACTATTGATTTCATTTCCTACTTTCCTTCTACGTATGATGTCCACAATGTAATAAAATTATGAAACTTTTTTTCATAAAGCAGGAAAAAATAATGAAAAACAATCAACAGAACAGATGCAGAAATAGTCCTGAAGCTGGACAGGGATTTTAAAATAACGAGGATTGAACAAAAACTGGACAACATGAAATAAAAGATGGGGAAATTTCAACAGACAGGGGAAAACCACAGGAATCAAATATAAGTGGTAGAAGTAAAAAGCACTAAGACAGATGAAGTGGTCCTTCGAAGGCACAGCAACACAGTTTCTTCAACACAGCTGATGAAGGAGTCAGTGAATTTGAAGATAAGAGAATAGAAATTCTCCAAACGAAAACAACAGTTAAAAACGAGTGAGAAGAAGAAAAACAGAACAGGGTCCCAGAGCTGTGAAAAATTCAAACAGGTAACAGGTGTATCCAAAGTACCAGAAGAAGAAAAAGAGAGAGAACGAGCAGAAGAAATAGTGAAGAGATAATGGTTGAGACTGTTCTAAAAACAATGAAAGACACCAAGACACAGATTCAAGAATCCCAGGGAAGTTCAGGCAGGATAAATACAGAAACAAACAACTAAAAATCTAGGCACTTCACATTCAAACTGTTAAAACCCAAAGATAAAGAGAGAAACTTAAAAATAACTCGGGGGCGGGGGGGAAGACAGATTATATTAGAGGAATAAAGAGTGTAAGAACAGATGATTTCTTGTCAGACCCTGCAGTCCAGAACACCACTGAGTGATATTGGTATATCACCGAAAGAACAAAAGTGTCATCCCAGATTTCTATGAACAATAAAAATAGCGTTCAGATGTGAAGGAGAGCTAAAGGCTGTCTCACAGGAGCTTAGCTGATTTCCTGTCGGCCCACCTGCAGGACAACAAATATTGGAAGAAGTTCTTCGGGCCAAAGGAGTGAATGTGATACCAGACAGAAATCTGTAGTTACCGAAAGAAATAAAAAGCTCCAGAAGTGGCAAAAAAGAAGATAAATAGAAAGTCCATTTTCTTACATTTTATAGCTCTAAAAGATAACGGTCAAAAACAAAACGAGTCATAGTGTTTTGAGGAACCTACAACGTATGTAAAAGTCAAACATATAACATAGGAGGACACGCAGGAGGGAGAAATTGTAAGTATCCTAGTGTAGGTTTCTTAAACACATGTGAAGTGGCCTAATATTACTGACATGTAGACTGTGATAAATGGTCTAAACAGCCCTGAAAAGACAGGGACTGCCAGACTGGATTAAAAAGCAAGACCAACCATACGTTACTTAAAAGAAACTCACTATATATAGAACCAATGTATTCATTTTCTTTCGGTGCCTCACAAATTACCCCAAACGTGGCAGCTTGAAATAACACACGCTTATTAGCTCACAGTTCCTGTGGGTCAGGAGTCCAGGCATGGCCTAACTGGGTCCTCAGCTCAGAGTCCACAAAGCTTCAATCAAGGTGTCAGCCATGCAACCGTTCTCATCGGGAGTTCAGGATCGTTTTCCAAATTCGTTCAAGTTGTGGGCGGAATTGAGTGGCTTGTGGTGGTAGGACTGCAGTCCTCCTGGAGGGTCCCAGGCTGCCCCTCTTGATAGGGGGTTCCCAATAAGGAATATTTGCTTTCTTCAAAGCCAGCAGGAGAAGCTCTTGCTTTTCAAACTTTTCTGATTAGGTCAGGCCCACCTGGTATAATCCCCCTTTGACTAACCTAAAACCAGCATTTAGGGATCTTAATTCCATGGCAGAGTCCCTTCACCTTTGCCATGGGAAGTGGCCTCCATCCTATTCACAGGTCTGCCCATGCTCAAGGGGAGGGGATAGTCCAGGGCACGTACACCAGGAACAAACGGAGCTTGGGGCCCATCTTAGAATTGTGTCTACCACAACCATATAGATGGGTTAAAAGTCAAAGGATGGGCAAAGAAATACCATGAAAACCCTAATGAAAAGAAAGCTGAATCACTATATTAATAGAAAAATAGGTTACAAACAAGGAATATGATCAAAGGAAAGCGCGCCTGGCTGGCTCAGTCAGTTAAGCAACCGGGACTGTTAGTTTCAGCTCAGGTCGTGATCTCAGGGTCGTGAGATGGAGCCCCGCATCGGGCTCTGACTCAGCACGAAATCTGCTTGAGATTCTCTCTCCCTCTGCCCCACTTGCTCATGCTCTGTCTGTCTCTCTCTCTCTCGAATAAATAAATAAATCTTTCTTTAAGAAAAAGATAAAGACAGACATTACAGAAAGATAAATATGTCGACTTACCAGGAGGACTTCATAATCCTAAAAATGTGTGCACCTAAAACTTCTTCAAAATACATGAAGCAAAACCTAAACTAATCAAAAGGACAGATAAACCCAAAAGTGCACTTGGAGACTTTAACCTCCTTTCTTAGTATTCAGTAAAACACAAAGACAGAAAATCAGTAAGAATACAGGAGGCATAAGGCTGGAGACTTTCCCCTTAAGGTCGGGAAAAGGCCAGGATGTCCACCCTTATCATTCCAGTTCAGCATCCTATTGGACATCCAGCCAGTGAGATGAGGAAAGGGAAAACCACCACCACCACCACCACCACCACCAAAAAAACAAGTCATAAAAAGTGTAAAGGAAATAATAAAGTTCTCTTTATTCAGAGATGACATGATTATTTATGCAGAAAACCCCCAAAAGGGAAAAAATATTCCAGAACTAAGAAATTGGCTTAGCAAGGTAGGAGAATGCAAGGTGAACATGCAAGGATCCACTATCAGCAGTGAACCATTGGAAATTGGAATTAAGTCATCAGCACTCTTGTAGTAGCATTAAAAACCATGAACTACTTTGGGATAAATCTAAGATTTTAATGCTGAAAACTACCAATGTTGATGAGAAAAATCAAAGAAGACCTAAATAAATGGAGAGATAGCCTATGTTTGTGGATAAGAAAATTCAATATTATTAAGATGTCAATTCTCCCCTAATTTCATCAACAGAGCAACGCAATCTCAGTCAAAATCCGAGTGGGATTTTTGGTAGATATTCACAAGCTTCTTCTAAAATTTATACAAAGAAAACAAAGAACTACCACTATTTTGAACAAGAAAAAGTTGGAGGATTCACACTCCCTGATTGCAAGATTGACTATAAATCTACACTCCTCATAACTGCGTGTAACAAATAGTATTGTCAGGGCCTCTTACTTGAGGAGTGGTCGCACTTTCTCCTGAGAGCACGGAAGTAGTGGGCTGCATCCGCTTGGCCACAGAGCAGCCTACGGTCTCCTCGTCTTTGCAATCTCTCGGAGGACCGCCTGTGATACACATCGCATTCTGGTTTCATGCCTGTTCGAAGATAAAACTGGTTTTTTTCTCTTCCATGTTAATGGAGAGGTTTTCCGAGTTGGCAAGAGATTGTTTTAAATTATATTCCCCCCAAACTCTCAGACGATGATGATTAGGTGATTCTAAGCCTACCTTCCAATAGCAACAGAAAGGAATCTGGAGATTCTCTAGGACAAGACCGGGCCCTGCCTAAGCACGTATTGTGTTCTGATCTTGCTTTGCAACGTAACAGGTTTTGGCTTATTTGTTTAATTCTAATTCCAGTGTAGTTAATACACAGTGCTGTGTGAGTTTCAGGTGTTCAATATAGTGATTCAACAGTTCTAAACGTTACTCACTACTGCTCATCATGTTAAATGTACCCTGAATCCCCATGACCTGGTTCACCCACTCTCCACCCACCTCCCCTCTGGTAACCATCAGTTTGTTCTCTATGGTTAAGAGTCTGTTTCTTGGGTTATCTCTTTGCTTTCTCTGTTCATTTGTTTCCTTTCTTAAATTCCACATATGAGTGAAATCATAGGGTATTTGTCTTTCTCTGACTGATCTTATTTGCCTTACACCCTTTACATCTGTCCAGGTTGCGAATGGCAAGATTTCGTTTTTATGGCTAAATAATAATCCATTGCATATATACCAGATCTTCTCTATCCATTCATCTATTGCTTCCATAGTGTGGCTCTTTAAATGATGCTGCAAATACAGTAGGTTGTCTTTTAGTTTTGTGGATTGTTGCCTTTGCTGTGCAGAAGTTTTGTATTTTGATGGGGCCCCAACAGCTTCCTATGGCAAGAGAAACAAAAGCAAAGTAATCGTTCTAGATTCATAACTGTAGCCTTAACTGGGCAATCAGTAGACAAAGAGAAGAGCCACAGCCTCCCAACCCTCCCCTCCCCACCCACCCCCACCCCCACCCCCAATAAATGGACCCAGAAGCTCCAGACCCCTAAAGCCCCTCAGGGCTGGTTTGTCAGAGGACAGAGAAGGGGCAGCCAGCACAAGGGGTCTGGCAAGTCCTTCAAATCCCGTCCTTAGAGCTGTTCTTTCAGCCCCTCCGTGGACCAGCACAGCCTTTCTGTCCCTGGTAGGCAGGAGCATGCATTCTAGAAACAGAGCCTTGACCAGGGGTCTGGGGAGTCCCGCGGAGCAGGTGCTCCTGCCATAGGGGCTGAGGGGAGTGGCTGGCGCCCCACTAGGTCATGGGGGCGTTTCTTAACCTGGGGGGGTCCATCACTGCCTTCAGAGCCTCTACTTCCACGCTCTGCTTATTTCAACGAGTCCTAAAAAGCAAATGGGAGGAGGCATGGCGACCCTGGCAGGCTGGGGCAGGAGTCGACCCGTTAAGGGAGCCACATGCCCCTTGCTCCCTGCTCTCCCGGTGCTGAGGGCAGCAGTTCCGCCGCCGACCCCGGGGGTCTGTCCTGGTCGGAGCGGGGGGG